ATCTCTGTTGGCCTTTTTTTTTCCTTACCCTCCCTGGGGGAAAAAATACGAAGACATTTTCTGCTGGTGGGGTAGGGCAGAGGAAGAGTTGGGAATGCAGTCATCTGCACTACTGGCCTAGTAAAAGTAGCATTAAGATCTTCACTCCTGGAGAATGGTCATCATGGCAACTCCTGGGCTGAAGGGGCTGAAGGAGCAGCCCCCCATTTGGCCTCTGTCTGGAGTACAAAGTCCTTGTTCAGTTTTCCACAGGCCAGTCACAAAACACATCCAGCTGGAAGACACAGTCACAGGCAGATAGGCTCTTACACGTATAGAAAAATGTTAAACCACATATCAGGAGGCAGGTTCCTACTACAGCCTCCCCTGATCCAGCTAACTGAAACCTAAGTTGTCTGCTCCTCAAGTTTCTCCTCCACCTGCCGACCGTGGGAACAGCAGATGCTCTGACACCCCTGGGGAACAGCCTCCCAGTGAGAGGGCAGCCGCCACAAGGGCCTCTATGTGTGTGTTTGTCCATCCTTGAAACAGGAGAGCTGCCGCAGTTGTGGGTCCCCACTTGGTGTGAGGGAACTGCTTGTGGAAGGGGCTAGAAGGGAGCACAGCCTCAGAGGGGTTGGGAGGCTGGGTGGGGTGGGATGGAGCATGCTTGGGGGCTTCGCGGCTATAGTTGTCAAACCTGAACCAGTCTTCCCTCTCCACAGGGAGCCAGTGCACCCAGGCAGGCAGGAGACTGAGGCCTCCTGAGTCACAGAGTGCTGGAATGTTGTCCAGAAACTCTGTGAGGAGAGGGAAGGCTCTCTGAGCTGACTTAAAAGGACAAAATAATACAGAAGACAGGCTGGTAGCTCCAGGGCCAGAGACCTATGGAAGCTCTGAGGCAGCCTCACCCCGCAGCTCAGCCTCTCACGGCCCCCTCCAGACCACAGCTCATGGAGGACATCTCAGGGCACAAGTCACAGGAGGGTGCTCTGGGAGGGTCAGGTAAGGAAGCAAGTGCAGAGAGGTTAAGCCACTCATTTAAAGACACACAGCCAGTGGATGGCAGAGCCTGCCCTGAAATCAGGCCTCCTGGGGTCTGATCGGATCATGGGGAACACAGCAATCGCTCAGGGAAACAGCTAGAATGCATAGACCAAATGGAACTTGGAAAGCCAGGCACATGACCTCCTGGGATTTAATGGGATTCCTTTCAGAGTAATAATATAATACGAACTACAATTTACCACGAATCTACCTGTCCCAGGAGCTTTACCAGGTGCTTCACGGATATTATTTCTCTGTGACAAAAATGGCTTTTCCCATTTTATGGATGGGGAAATTGAGGCCAGGAGAATGTAAGTAACTTCTCTAAAACCATACAGATACTGAGGGGAAGTGCCAAGATTATTCCCAGCCCTTCTGCCCCCAAAGTCTGGGCATTGGTTTGTTATGACACTGGCTTTCATTAAAAGAAGGGACAAGAAGGTGAATGTCCTCATTTATTTTCGGTTGCCATATGTTCAGACCCTAGACCAAGACACCTTCTAGAGTAAGTTAATACAAAATGTATAAACCTCTCTGAGAGAACTAGATGCATGAGTAGGCTGATTGGGGTTACATGTGGGTGGTAGAGGCTCTTGCTAGACTGGGCTTGGGGTTCTATGAGTGTGGGCTACGGGGCAAACACCACGGCTCTCTTTGTGGTTTTTCCTCACACTTAGTGCAAGGCCAGAATTCTCCTAGTAGGCCAGGCCAACAAAACGAGGCCCACTTTAAACATCAGAAACCAAAATATTTAGTAAAATTGGTCAGACATGGACATTGCACACCAAGGCTCATCTGAACCCTGGGCAGGGATCTATTCCAGAAGGTCAAATTATGTAGGAAGTGTTGGGAAATCCAAACTCCCTGCCAGTGCTATGTTAATTCATTCCCCCAAACCCCTACCTGTTACCCTCACACAAACCCATGGCTCCTTCGCTAGCCAGAAGAGGAACGATCCAGGCATTTCAGAGCAAGAAAGAAATCGTTTTTTTCAACGAGGAAGAAAGCACTGGCTTTGGAAGTGGGAGGGCCTCGCTTTGGTTTTCAACCTGAAATGAACTCATGCTCTGCAGTGTGAAGCGGTTCTTTACTTTTTGCTTCCTCACATTATTGGATTTGATTCAAATAAAGGCCATCCAGGGCTGCCCCAAAGCACCACTGGCCTCGCAATCTACACACCACACTGTCTGGGGCAGCCCTGCTGAGCCACACGGCAGGTGGGGCGTGAAGTCCCCCCATCGGGCCTCCCTCGATCCCTCCATTCTCCACTCTGGTACAGCTCGATTCAAGAACTATGTATAATCCTCCCACTGTGTGCCAGGCACAGTGCTGGGTGCTGGGGCCAGAGAGAGGTAGCCAGGGTTCCTTCAGGCTGGAGCCTTCCACCGTCACAAGAGAGACACAGACAGTAAACATAAGTGCGACACGGTGTAAGGCACGTGGCATTAGCAGCGTAGGAGGAAAGGGAACAGTACAGAGGGTCCGAGAGGCCAAGGAGGACTTCCAGAGACACTAAGCTTTAGGGGCTGAACGATTGTCATGGAAGCAATGACAACGATAAGATATAGCACGGGGAAGAGCTCGTGCAGCCGCCCAGAACACAAACCAGATGGCCCCCTGGCTGCTTAAGGGAGTTGGCTACTCGCATGGTATGCCACCAGTGTGGCTCAGAAGCCCAGGAATGGTCACCAGGTCCAACACCTGTAGGGATAGCTCCTTTGTCCTACTCATACCTCTATAGGTCCCTGAGTCCCTTGGCTCAAGCCTCTGCTCCTAATTCTAGCCTCCAGGTCCCCCAGCCCAAATAACATGCTCTGGATACACTTTCCTGATACTGACTTTCTGGACTCTTTGGGGCAGGATCCACTCATGATCTGCAACTCCTTCCTTCCACCTGGCCCTGTGTTACCCTGGAGGCCAGCCCAGCCTCCCCAACAGGGACCAGCCGCATGCAAGGATCTGTCAGTTGTCTGATGGAACAAGACTATGAAATATAAGTGGGAGAAAACATAGCTCTGGAAGCAGGCAGGAGACCAACCCAATTCCAGCTGAAGAGTCCTGCAGACACGGAAGCGATGGAGGAGCATGATGTAGGCAAACGGCAAATTCTGACCTGCCTCCCCAGGCGCCTCCCCAGTGAGGACAGGATGGCTTTGTGGAGGGAGAAGCACTAGCCACAAAGAACAAATGTGGCCTGAGAGGCTGTTGCAACAGTCTGAACAAGACTTGAAAAGGAAAGGTAGTCGGGCTTCCCTGCCCCTCAGGGCCAGTGCAATCATGGACCTCCTTGAAGACAGGGCAGGACAGACCTGGGCCCCTTTCACTCTCCCTGCTGGTTCTCAAGCCTCCATCCTGGCTCTGATTCTTATCACTGCAGGCTGCCTCCTACCCCACCGCCCTCCTCATCCTTCTCCACTTCCTCCCCCTCCTCTTTCTCTCTCTCCCTGGAGCTACGTGCCTTGCCGCCTGCTTCTAGCTCAAGCCTGCCAGACAAGAGAAAATGGAAAAGGAAAACAGAAAAGGAAGCCTGAACTATAAAAAAGAACTAGTCAAATAGCAACTAGCACGTGTCTGGGAGAGGCAGACGCCACAGGAGGAGCCGAGCCCCACCACTTTTAGTGGGAGCTCCCGGGGTAAGGAGGCCCAACAAAGGTTTGGTCTTTCACGAGTCTGGAAACTCCAGGGTGCTCAAAAAAAAAAAAAAAAAACAACAACTTATGTCACGATTCTGTCATCTTAAAGCCTGGAGGAGGCAGTCTCAGCCCTCTCCAGTGATGCCACCAGGCAGATGGTGGGGAATAAAGATCCACTGCTTAGCTCCCTCGAGCCCACGTCCTGGCTTCTCCTGTGACCACCTGCCACCTTCGACGTGGCCCAGCAGAATCTTCAGCAACTCTCCACCGGTCACAGTAACCTGTTTACAGACATCTAGAATTCCCAGGCACTTTTAGGACAAGGGACTCAGGTGGTTCCAAGTGGGCAGCAAAGTCCCATCTAAGAGAAGCTGTTCCTCCCGGTCTATTTTTGCCCATGTAAACACTTGCCAAGGCAACAAGGCGTGTGGGCATGCGCGGCCCTGCAGGCCCTTGGTTGCTGCACAAGGCAACTGGAAAGTCACATGTCATAACAGTGGAAAGTACATATGCAACTATTCTTAGCCCTGGAATGTATACACTGTCTCCCTGCCCAGCAGGCCTTGCACAAAGCTCTAGAAAACTGTGAAAGTGCCTTCAGCATAAACAAATCCAGAACTCTCCCAGGACAAATCACTTGCCAACTAAAGAAAAGGCCTGGGGTTTATGGTTTCGCTCCGAGCCAGAGGTGGAAACTCTCTGGGGGGACGAGTGGAACTAGGCATCGGTGGCTGTCACTACAGGAAGACAAGGTAAATACCTCTAATGCTTACTACTTCTGCAGGTAGACTGTTAGATATCACCGATAAACCAGGATGCTGTTTGGTCTCTGCTTTCTATCCATTCCACCTTTAAAACAAAACCAAAAAGACTCTATGAAGTCATGTTTTTAAAAATATATGTATATGGCAAAGGTCTGTTTTCATCCCTCATTTCTGTCTGGCTACCAGAGGGCCACACCCCCAGACCTCATCCCCTGGGAGTGACTAACACCCAGAAAGAGATGTTCAGGTGACTTTGTTAAATAGTCTCAAGCACTTCTGCTGGTCAAATGCATGGGCTGTTATCTTGCTTAGATAACATTACAGTCCCTGGTAGTCAAGTAACTTCCAGAAACTCTGCATTTTGTTGTTGTTGTTTTTCAGATCAGGTGAAAATGCTATTTGCTTATTACCTTTGAGAATAATCATAACCAAAAAGAGACGTGTCAGCTCTGAGGTCTGGGGTGTCTGCGATATTCCTGGCAACCCTCACAAACATCTTAGTGAAGGGACATAGATGCCTCGGACCCTCCAGCACATGCCACTGGGAAAGGATTGACTGATGCTCCCTCCTGGGGCTCCCTCCCCGCTCTGCAGGATGGATGAGGGGTCGCCAGATGGGCTGCTCTTCAAAGACCACGGCTTCTCCTCTGACTTGTTGCGGCAGCTCAATGCCTTGAGACAAAGCCGGATCCTGACAGACGTGAGCATCTGCACTGGCGCCCAGGAGGTCCCCTGCCACCGCAATGTGCTGGCCTCCAGCAGCCCCTACTTCCAGGCCATGTTCTGCGGCAGCTTCCGGGAGAACAGAGAGGCCAAAGTCCAGCTGAAAGGCATCAACGCCCCAACTCTGGAGCAGATCGTCTGCTATGTGTACACAGGGGAGGTGTACATCGCCAGCGAAAATGTCCTCCCGCTGATGGAGGCGGCGTCCATGCTGCAGTACCCCAAGCTGTTTGAGGCCTGCTCCTCGTACTTGCAGGGACAGCTGGCCCCCAGCAACTGCCTGGGCATGCTCAGGCTCTCGGAAATCTTAAGCTGCCAGACCCTCAAGAAGAAAGCAAGGGAGGTGGCCCTGACACATTTCCCGGAGGTGGCAGCATCTGCAGACCTGAAGGAGCTCTGTGCCTTGGAGTTGAGAGACTACCTCAGCGATGATGGGCTCTGTGGGGAGGAGGAAAAGGTGTTTGAGGCCCTCATGGCTTGGATCAAGCATGACCTCCAGGCCCGGAAACAATACGTGCAGGAGCTGTTCAAGCAGGTCCGGCTTCAATACATCCACCCCGCCTTCTTCCACCACTTTATCGCCAATGACACCCTCCTCCAATCCTCACCCGCATGCCGGACCATCTTGGAGATGGCCAGGAGGCAGGTGTTCTCTTTGTATGGCACCTGCGCCCCAGACTGCAAACCCCTGTTGCACATCCCTCCGAGAAACTCCTACCAAGACTTTCTCATCCTCCTGGGTGGAAGGAAGGACAGCCAGCAGACCACCAGGGACGTCCTGCTCTACAACAGACTGACCGACCAGTGGCAGAGCCTCCCCCAACTCCCAGCCAGGCTGTACAAGCCCTCGGCCATCACCTTGCACCGCAGTGTCTACGTGCTGGGGGGCATGGCTGTGAGCTCAGGAAGGAGCCTGGTCAGCCACAGCGTCTACATTTTCTCCCTGAAACTCAACCAGTGGAGGCTGGGAGAGCCCATGCTGGTGGCCCGCTACTCTCACAGAAGCACTGCCCATAAGAACTTCATCTTCTCCATCGGGGGACTCGGGGAAGGGCAGGAGCTCATGGGCTCTGTGGAGAGGTACGACAGCGTCTTCAACATCTGGGAGAGGATGGCCAGCATGCCAGTGGGAGTTCTCCATCCTGCCGTTGCTGTGAAAGACCAAAGACTCTACCTCTTTGGGGGAGAGGACATCATGCAGAACCCTGTGCGTCTCATCCAGGTAAATGGGCAGTTCTTCCCGTCGGATAAGCACGTGAGTGTGTGTACGTGCATGTACATACACACACACAAAACAGATGTCCACCCACACCTACATATTTACACATATGCATACATACACACATGTACACAAACACATATGCATCATGTACACACACACACCAGCACACATACCTGCATACTTACACATATACACATGTGCACATGTGCACACACATACACCTATATGTGCACACATGCATGCATGACAAACACATATACATGCATGCATGTACACACGTACACACCCCAGCACACATACCTGCATACTTACACACATACACACGTGCATATGTATATGCACATATACCTATACAAGCATGGACACACATAAACATACACAAACACATATGCATGCATGTACACACTTTCACATACCCCTAACATGCACACCTACATACACACACATATACCTAAATATGCATGCACACATACACACATGTACATAGCACATATGAATACATGTATGTACTTTCACATACCTCCAAGGTGCACACCTACATATTTACACACATACATTCATGTATATGTACACACACCTATCCAGGCATGCATACACACATGTACACAAGCACATATGCGTACATGCATGCAATATACACGTACACATTTGTCATTTGCAAAGAAAGGAGGAAGGGAAGGAGAAAAAGGAAAGAAAGGAGGGAAGAAGCGAGAAATTTTCAGCAAGTTATTTTTTAATTTATGAATTCTTTTTTACAAGGGGAATACATACAAAGGTTTATCAAATATAATCCCTACCCACAAAGAGTTTGCCTTCATTTAAGGAGAAAAACTGCATCTAAAAATTCAAGCTAGACCACATTGAATGTCAGATAGTCCTCTAGGAACCTGGCTCTTTTTTTTTTTTTTTTTGAGACAGAGTCTCACTTTGTCACACTCAGTAGAGTGCTGTGGCGTCATAGCTCACATCAAGCTCAAACTATTGGGATCAAGTGATTCTCTTGCCTCAGCTCCCAGTAAAGTGCAATGGGCGTCATAGCTCACAGCAACCTCAAACTCTCGGGCTCCAGTTATTCTCTTGCCTCAGCTTCTGGTAGAGCGCTATGGCGCCATAGCTCACAGCAACCTCAAATTCTTTGTCACCCTTGGTAGAGTACCATGGCATTATAGCTCACAGTAACCTCAAACTCTTAGGCTCAAGTGACTCTCTTACCTCAGCCTCCAGAGTAGCTGGGACTACAGGCACTCACCACAAAGCAGGTGGTCTCTCTCTAGCTCAGGCTTCTCTCAAACCCGTGAGCTCAGGCAAGCTTCCCCACTTGGCCTCCCAGTGTGCTAGGATTATAGGTGTGAGCCACCGCACCCAGCCTATGGCATATGTTTATAACCTAAATCCATAAAAGATTTCCAAATATTCCAAATCTTGGTCCACACCTCTGTGACCAAATGCCCCGAATCTGACCTTAGGTCCACTGACTCAAAATCTCCTGTGCGGGATCCTAAAATTTATCCTTTACAAAAGTCTCCAGGAGATTCTAAGGTGCATCCCAAATGGGGAGCCCCTCCCTTAAATGATAGATAGATATTAATTTCACTAACAAGTTCTCTGAGACATGCAATTAAGGGCCACATTTCACAATGTTAACTCTATGCAAGTTTCTAGTAATCTCTGCAGTTCATCTAATGATATGAAAATCTGGAGTAATGAGCTTATCATTACGGATCGTGGAGAAGACCCCAGGAGATGTGCTTTGTTCATTCGTAAAAGTTAAGCTGAGAGGGGTGGGGCCTTGGTGTATGCCACACCTTGGTGTATGCCACACCTTATGATTGTAAGAGGGACTTTACCTAAGAAATGCAATCAGTGTAATCTGGTTTCTTACACCCTCAATGAATCCCCAACAACAACAAAAAGAGTTAAGCTGAGCACCAACCACTGTGAAGGCCCTGGGGACAGGGAGGGAACAGCCAGTTACACTTAAAGCTCAAGGAGCTGATGAGATAACTGCAATTCAGATACAGAAAAGAAGGGTGCTCTAAGAGGATGGGGGGCTCTAAACCGCTCTATAGGGAATCAGAGAGAGCATTTTTTTGACTATTTTTCAAAATTAGAGTCAACAACTATGCTGGATTTCACATTACAAAATTATCACCCACTACACTGGAGGGGGCCCGTGAGGTGGCTGAAGCTGATTTGAGCTGAGAGGCAGCAGAGGAGAGAGAGCAGGTGAGGATGAAGACAAAAGAGGAGGAAGAAGGTGGGGTAGGGGCTAACAAAGCAGGTGGCAGAGTTCCCACATGGGCAGAGGTAAGGAAGCTTCTTCCTGCTTCACCTGAAGCAGGAATCCGAGTTGTCTATTGAATGAGGACAGGGAGTGGTCCTGGGTAAGGGCCTGTCTAAAGGCCCTGAGGCACAGAAAGGCACGGACCCCTGCCTGGAGGGACAGAAAGCATGACAGTCTGTAACAGCCCAGAGCAAGAAGCGGCAGTGTGCCAAGGGGTAGCTGGGTTGGGGATATTAGTCCTCATGTCAGCCCCTTCCCAAGCTACCAGACTGTCACCCCTGAATCCCTCCTATAAAAATTCTGGAACATTCTTGAGGGATGGGTATTTGTGGAGATGTGGCTGATGTGGCAGTGCTTCTGGGCCTTGTCAAGGAATTGGGATTAGCCTGAGAGTACGTGGATATCATCAGAGGGCTTCAGGTAGGGTGGGTGATGCAAACAAATCTGTAGTTTTAGGAGTTCCCCCTGGACAATCTGTAGAAAAGGGATTGGAGGGTGGTACAAAGGAGGAAAAGAGGAGAACTGAGAGTCTCTTCTAGAGTTCCAGGCAAGGATGGTGACACTTGGTTGGTGCAAGTGGAGACTTTTTTCTTGCCTTCACTTTTCCAACCCGTATTTTCAGCTCTTCCCTGACCATGAAAGTAGATTCTTAGTCTTTCCAGAATTACTGTTCCAAACCCTACTCCTTTGCTTGAGCTAGGATTGATATCCCGTCCAAGCTCTCACCATGTAACACAAATATAGCAAAGTGCTTCCACGTAAAACTAGAGCCCCTCTCTCTTTTTTGACTATTTTTCAAAATAGAGTCAACAACTATGCTAGATTTCACATTGCAAAATTATCACCCACTTCCTAAGAGTAAAATGCAACCAGTGAGCCTTTTACACTGCAGCTATGGGAAGAGAGAAGGGCCAAGTATTAATTTTGGTGCTTTTCTTATCTACTTAGCACTATCTTAGAAATGTAAATCTTATTCAAATATTGTTTAAAAGAAATGCTTGGAGTTGCTTGACAGAGCAGGTTGGATTTTCAGGCACTAATTGGGAGTTTTGTTCACAGCATGGCTCATCAGCCACACGTGTTCTTTTAAGAACTACACTACAATAGGGTTACTCTGCAAATTACACGTGGGCATGGACCTTTCCACCTGCCCTCCTTTCTACCTGTCTCTGGATGCCATTAGGCAAGTTCTTTACCATAACAAAGTATCACTTCCTCCACTGGTCAAGGATCATCCTTTGTTATCCTTGCCCCAGCCTCTCTGGGGAATTATGAAGATTAGGAGCAAATGTTTTAATCTATTTTTGAAACCATACCGAAAGCTGATAGAGAACAGAAGGTCAGGAGGCAATTACTCACTCCACTGAAATGCAACCAGTGTTTGCTTTTCTTCCAAAGATCCCACTTTCCAGAGGGATTGTCGCCTGCATATTTTCAGATGAAATCAGGTTTCATAGCCATTATGACTACCCCTGTCACTAGCACGTGGCCACTTCCAGACCTCACTGACTGGCAGAGACCTAAAGAGGTCCCCAGTCTCAAAAGCCTTTATCAGAAAGGCTATATTTTTATAGCCCCAGGCAGAGCTAGAGGCATGGAGGTTAACAGCCTGAAGTCTAGGCTCCAGCCAAACCAGTTCTCCCATACACTGTAGCTGTATGACCTTAGCATGTCACTTAACCTCGCTGGACAATGGTCTAATCTAGAAGCTAGGGGGTGGAGGGGGGACGTAATCCATGTAGTACGTGCCTCATAAGATGGTTCTAAAGGTAAAATCTGATAAACTAACAAAAATAAAGTCCTTCATAATGTTAACACATATTTTGTATGTAAAGAATTTCCAGCAAAGACTGCTGTACCATTTTCCTCTGTAAATAAACGCTTGTGTTCCTTCTTTTCTTATGTAAAGCCCATCTTATATCTCTTGTACTAAATTTTGCTCATAATGAACTAATTCACATTAGCTATTTGGGTTTCAAACTGGGGACATTAATCAGAGAACACATTTGGGGAATGATGATTTGACCCACTGCTTCAGAGCCCGCCCTCTCCTGTCTGGTCTTTTTGTCCCTCCTTCATGCTTCATTTTTTCTAAGATTCTAATGACTTTCAGGCATGAACTGTTCAAAAGCTTTCCTCACTTAGCTCCAAATTGATTCTCTGCTCTATGACCCTCTTAGATACATTTAGAACATTTGGAAATGTAAACACGGGCTAGAAAGAAAAATGATTTTAAAAAGTCGGTTTTCCAAATACCTGAATTGCTCCCTTCCTCATTAAAAGAAAAAAAAAAAACATTTCAAGCAAGGTAAATGAAACATACACTACGATGCAGCACTCACAGTCCACTGTACAGACATCCCGCTGCTGATCTCATGGGGTTACAACAAGCCCAATTGTTAATAATATTCTTTTATCTGGTGTTTAATATTTTGTTTATTAATAGTAATGTGGGTATGTTTTTAAACTGGAGAAAAGTAGAAAGAAAAAATATCTCACTCCTCGCTCATCTTGTTAATTATTACTACTTCTGTCTTAAAAGGAATATTTAAGATGCAATGGCATGATTCTATTTCTCCCTCAGGTTTATCACATTTCCAGAAACACATGGTTCAAAATGGAAACGAGAATGATCAAGAATGTGTGTGCCCCTGCGGTGGTGCTTGGGGAGCGGATTGTCATTGTAGGAGGTGAGTTTGAACAGAAATGCGGCACCTCCCATGGCAACAAAAGGCACAGCCAGCCAGATGTCATTCTCTAAGATAGTCCTTCAAGCATCCACCCCACCAGGGAAGCAGGGACCATCTGACAATACTCTTTCCTCATCCAGAAGTTTGTCTCTGTCTTTGTCTGTAAACAAGAGATGAAATAATATGTAATTCACAGAGCTGTTGTGGTAATAAATGTGCTCTAGTATCTAAAGTACTTTATACTATCCCAGACACCTGGTAATTTAAAAAAAAGTGCTTCCTAGTGTTAATAGTAATGGTTCGTTATTATTGATAATAATTCATATTGATAATGGCTATGGTGTCATGGTAAGAACACTAGTTTGGGGGTTAGACCTGCATTCAAATCCTGATGCTGCCATTAACCGGCTATATACCTGTGCTCCTAAGCAAGGTATAGAATCTTTCTGTGCCTCAGTGTACCCATTAGTAAAATGGGGATCCTAAAAGTACTTACCAGATAGGGTTGTTGTGAGGACTCGTTTCTGAGTTTCCAAAGGCTCTCTCTTGGGATTGTCATAGCTCTTGGATGGGTACATGGGAGAGGAAAATGCCAACAGATGGAAAAAGTTACTGGGACTGCAGGCTGCTCCCAATCTAACAATGGCTTATATGCTGCCTCAACTCAGGGTAAAGGATTCCAGACCACAGTCAGACAGAGCTGGGTGCCAATACCCTCTCCACCACATGCCAGGCCTTGGCAGGTTACCGCAACACTGCACCCTCTAGCCCAGAGCCCCAGCCTCCACACTAGGCGTGGCAGGGATCAGAGGCCGCCCAGGACTGTTGACCTCCTGTCTCAGATGACCGGCACTGAGTAGCTTGCCCACATGTCATTTGGTTCTCAGGTTACACGAGGAGGATTCTCGCCTATGACCCTCAGTCCAACAAATTTGTCAAATGTGCGGACATGAAGGACCGGAGGATGCACCACGGGGCCACGGTGATGGGGAACAAGCTGTATGTGACGGGAGGGCGGCGGCTAACCACGGACTGTAACATCGAGGACTCAGCCTCCTTTGATTGCTACGACCCTGAGACAGACACCTGGACATCTCAGGGACAGCTGCCTCACACACTTTTCGACCATGCCTGCCTCACGCTCCAGTGTATCCCCCATGTGTCCACCCTTCCATGAGGTTGCAAGAAACCTTCTGTCAGGACGCCTTCTGCTGCAAGGGCTGGAAACCCAACTGCAAAGAGCTTAACCCTGAGCTCTTCACAGGGAGTGCTCACAGGACGGGGGTACCAGAGCCTGAAGGCCTGGAACCAGGTGTAGTATTCCCAGAACTAACTCTCTCTCTCCCCACCGCCACCATCTCTCTGTCTATTCTCTGTCTCTCTCTTCTCCCTCCCCTAAACTCATCTCTCTTCTCTCTCCATCACTCTCTCTTCTTTTCTCTCTCTCTGCCCCCATCTCCTCCTCTCTCTTCCCCCATCTCTCTACCTGCTCTTTCTTTCCCTCTTTATCCTCTACCCCCAGCTCTCCTCCCCCCTCCTTCTCTCCATATTTCTCCCTCTCTACCTCATTTCTCTTAAGCTTCATTCTACAAACAAGCTTCTTCATCCTCACAGCGTGAGGACAATGACAACCAATAAATTCAGGCTCACATTCTCTAGCTTTGAATCTCAGGAGAGAACTTTATCTCTATGTTAAATTGAAAAGCAATGCTGACGGCCCTTTTGGAACTTCATCCCTCCCTCTCTAGCTGGTCACTGTTGCCAGAGACTGTGCTGCTATCGCTGGCTCGTCCTGGATCATGTCCGCATGAGCAGAGGTGGGGTTAACTATTCTGACCTATGGCTCAGGTAACCAGATAGCAGCAGTTCCCCAAAAAAAGAAATTCAGGGCTAAAAACACAAACCATATGTGCCTGGGACACCACTGAAATCTGGAATGGGAGGCCTGAGGGATCCAGCAGGGTCCCTGGAAGCACATGGCCCAGGTGGCAGCGTGAGAAATTTGCCATGACTGGGTTTCTCTGCATTTGTGGATGCCGAACATTGAAATTCCAGGGAAGTATGTGCAATCCAGTATCTGGTGTTTGTAAAATTATCCTGCACCGCCAGAATAAAGTTTGTTTCTGGTGCCAAGTGATGTTTTTCTCCAGCCTCCGAGGAGCTATAAAACTGCAGAATTAATCGGGATTTTCATTTTGGTAAATGTTATGAGAATTGCTCTTCTGGGGAAAGCCAGCAAATTCCTTCAGAGCTCACAGGCATCGCCACCCGTGGGTGCCAGGGCTCACGGCCCCTACACAGCCTTCATCTCAGGGCACCCCCATGCCAGCTCAGCCCCGGCTCAGGGATAAGCCTAAAGGCAGAGCAGTGGTTCTTAGAGCCACCTGTACTTTACAATCACTCAGGAAGATTTTTAAAACTGGACTGAGCCCCATTCAAGATGGACAGAGAGATTCTTAAAGGTGGGGCCCAGAACTCTGTATTTTTTGGAAAGTTTCCCAGATGGTTGTAATGTGCAGACGGGGTTGAGAACCACTGTTCCGCTTAGCTGTGGGCACCAAAGATTATGGCTGGCTCCATTCCCATCCTGTCCCGACCAGCCCGCCCAAGCCAAGCCACATAGGCCAAGTTCTCTGCCCATCAATGGAAGCATCTGAAATGAGTCTTGCTGCCCTGAGCCTGAGTATCCCCACCCAAGCTGTAGCCTTCCTCCCCACCTGCTCTCTGGGTCCATGTTCTGGACTTTTCCTTCCTTCCTTCCTAGTTCGTATATTTGGCACTTTACGTCCTCCTGCTGGGGTCTGAAGGTCCAGCCTGCTTCCCAGACCACTTGGCTGTGGTCCAGACATCCTGCCTGGGTTGTCAGCCCTGCTGCTCAGCCTGGACACTGTCCTCTGAGCTACGGGCTGTCATTGTACTCCAACCTCTTCTCTTTGAACACCTCTATTCAGTCTCTAGTCCTGCTTTCCCTGAAGGTGACCTTGGAAAGACAACCAGTGACCATTGGCAGCCCAAAGTGGGAGCCCATTTTCCTTCCCTACTTGACTGGTCAGTAGCAAAGGACAGTGCTGACCTTCCTTCCTGAAACCCCTTCCTCACCCCCCTCTGGGACATTACTTGCTCCTGCTTCCCCTTGGACCACCCCCAGCCAGGATTTATTCTTTTCTCCTCATTTTTCAGACAAATAAATGTAGACACACACCAGAGTTCAGTTTTCTCTAATTCCAGACTTCACTGCTTACTCCATCCCTTGCTGTGATATTAAATAGATGCTTCAAACTCAGCATGTTCCAGACCACTCTTACCTCACCAAACCCACTCCTCCCAAGGCTTCCCCACCCAGGGAGGGGACAACACCTTTCCTTCAGTTTCTCAGCCCAAAGCTGCAGGCTGCTCCTGATTCCTCTCTCCCCCACACTCCACTCTGTCTGCTCCACACACATCAGAGCCCAACCACATCCTGCCATCCCCGGCACTGACTCAAGTCCGGCCACCACCTTTTCTCATCTGAGCTGTTATGATGGTGTCATCACTGGGCTTTTGGCTTTTACCTTGGCCTTCTGAATCTCTTCTCAAACCAGCAGGCCATATGATCTTTTAAAAACATAAGTCAAATAGGCTATTTCCCTGTTTAAAACCTACCAAAGCCTTCCCAGCTCTCTCAGCTGAGCCTGGGAGCCTGCGAGATGCCCTGCCCCCCTGCGGCCTCTCTGCTCTCATCTCTAATGTCCCTTACCACATCCCGCTCACTCAGCAGCAGCTGTGCGACCCTCCTGGCTCCCACGTTCTGAGCAAGCCCTGCTTTCTGTTTCCATGCCACCTGAAAATAGCTGGCCTACACATCGCACCCTCTTCCTTCTCCCCCTACCCCAGGAAGACGCCTTCCCTGACTACCTTCCACCTGGTCCACCCACAGGTCCTGTCTGACATACCCTCCAGCCCTCTGTCTCCACTGCCACTTCCATAAGCCAGAGCCGTCCTTGCGCCCTGGCCAGTCTCCAGGGGCTGCTGGCTTCCACTCCTGCCCCATGATCCCTCCTAGAACAACTATCAGAGTAACCTTATTAAAACACAGACCTGATTATGTTACTCCCCACTTAAGATGATCCGTGGCTTCCCAGAGGCCTCTGCACCAAGCCCTTCATCTTTAAGGTAGCCCCTAGGGCTGTCTATGACCAGCGCCTACGTGACTCTCTGCCTCATCCTTCTCTGCTCCAGCCATGCTTTGTTATGCTACATCCTCCTTTCTCCTGCCTCAGGGCCTTTGCACATGCAGTTGCCCAACCTGATGTTCTGACCACTTCACCTGACAGGGTTTCAACTTACATCTTATACACCAGATTAAAAGTCACTGCATCAAGGAGGCCTTCTGTGTACCCTCAACCCAGCTTGGGTCAGCTCTCTTAATAAATAACTCATGGCCCCCAATCTTCCCCCTTTGAGACTCTCATTCTATTTATAATTTTCTGATCACTGTCTTCCCCTCTAGATGCCTGCATCTGTCCTGTTCTCCTCTGCATTCCCAGCGCTGGCCTCAGTGTGTATGCCACAAACATTACAGATCCTCAGCAAATACATGATGAATGAATTAAAGAAGAGAAAGTGAATGAGGAGGCTGAATGTACATCATCTCTGGGAGCTCCAGCTTATACTCGGAGGTAAATGTGTGAAGTGAGGGGTCATTCTGTCCTTTGCCCTTTCCTCCCCCTCCCCCATCTTGAACAGAGTCTGGCAAATCTGCATGGGGTATGAAGCGGCCCAGCTCACCTGGGTAAGCCTGAGGGTGGAGGGCTTTCTCTAGCATGACCAATCTGCCTGGAAGTGGGAGTCTTCCCATCCATAAACACCTTCTGTGACCTCCAGAAATCCTTGTCAGAGACTTGCTAATGCCTTGACTTTCTCTTCCTTTCCTCTCAGTCCAATATTTAGTAAGCTGCCAGAGTCTGGGACTGCTCAAAGCTTGTCCAAGTCTCCCTGAGATACAAAAGAACTATGTAAATTGCCTCGCAGGATTCATAAAGAAAGATGGCATTGGGGCCAAACACATTGCCAGCTCTGTGTGTCAGAGAAGATGCCTGGTGGCAGACAGGTCCACACACTTGGGCCTCCCACCAGCCAAACTCACTACGTGAAAGGGATTTTGCAAAACAACCCTCAGAATAGGAGGAATTCTTTCTAGTCTGCTGAGGACAACCTCAGCCCAAAAAGAAAGAGAGAACTGGTTTTGGCACAAAGCTTCCTTGGCCTCTTTGGCTGAGTACAGGATCATACTCCATACGGAGGTCAAAACACATTCAGCTGGGGCAGTGCCAGTAGCTCAAAGGAGTAGGGCGCCAGCCCCATATACCAGAGGTGGGGGTTCAAACCCAGCCCCGGCCAAAAAATAAATAAATAATAAATTTTAAAAAAAAAACATATTCAGCTGGCAGCAGTTAAACTGAAACACTTTAAGTAAAAAAAAAAAAAAAAAAAAAAAAAGAAGTCAAATGGACTAACTAATCATCTCAGCAGGGAAGGTGGGAAAAGAGCAAGTTGGAAGTGGAACAAGAGCTAAGCAAGAAAACACTAAGAAAAAGATCAAATACCCTGCCCCAGAGTCAAACAGTGGCAGAAGGAGCCCGCAGGGAGATGGGGTGGGGCCAGAGCCCAGAGAAGGTGGCTGATCTCGAGAATCTTGAAAGAAGGCCTGGGGGTCCTGAGGCCACCATTGGACCATTCACTGGCAGAATATGGCCAGCCAGATACTGCATGAGGCAGCGAGCCCTGGCAGAGTGACATGTCACCAGCAGGACAGAGTTGGTGGAAGTCCGCACCCTCCCTCCCTGTTCAGACCCTTCCTGAACCTGGTTCTGAGGGTGAACCTTCCTGGCTGGGAAATCCACTCTCCCTCGGGATGGTCCCCTCCTGCCTCATCCTCTTCAGCATCTGCTGTCCTTGGTGAACAACATGGACATGTACAAAGTCCCAACATAGGCTGAATTTAACTTCTCTATCTATTAAAAAAAAAAATCTGTAATGTCCCGGAGGACAAACACTGTAACTGGTTTTACTCAAACACATTATCCTTCCCCCAACCTCAACATGCCATGTATGTCATGCCTCTGTGCCTTTGCACATGCTAGTCCCTCTGCCATCATGCCTTTCCCTGCCCTACTCAGTGAACTCTTATTCAACCCTCATCTCTTCTGTGGAGCCTTCTCCAACTCTTCTACCTAGCCTCCTTCCCTGATCCCA